CCCCAAAACCCCAAAACCCCAAAACCCCATAAGTTAGAATTTCGGATCCTTATGAAATTCGCATTTATATAGTTTTCCTTATAAATTTATTTTTCAAAAATGTCTAATATTGTGCACTCTATAGAATAGAATGGAAATACTACTAGACTTTCAGTAATAGATCCAGGATCGTATCTATTTCCACATTTACAAAGATTTTTTAAGAGACCAAGCAGTTTGAGTCCCATAAAAATGGCTTAAGCAGATGCATATTCATAAAATCAAGGCATACTAAGTGCATAGCCGACTCTTAGTAATTTCAACTCTATAGCAATTAACGCACATGGTAATCCCTAGACCACTAGAACACCAAATATTATCAACCAACGAAGTGAGACAATGCTTGCTTAAATCAGAAATATCCCTCTGAGAAATAAATATATCCAATCTATTAACTGTGAAAATCTATCCTCTGTTACCTAGAGGCTTTAAGTAAAATCACTTTAAAAAAGACTAAAGAAGCGTAAAAAATACCTAATAAAGAATGAGCATATTCCTCAAATCTAAACTATACCACCTCTAACTTAAAAGGTCTCTGTGTTAAGAAGTAATATTGAAGAAGCACTCGGGTTGCCGAAGCATGATGACTATTAAAATAAAAGGAATACCCCTTTCATGAATGATAGTAAACAATCAACACCTATAAAGTTTCTCTCTTAAATATAACTATCATAGCCTAGAGGAGCATACCAACTATTTAAAACAGACAAATTCGATTTCACTAGAACCATTGTCAACTTTTAGTAAAAAGAACTTTAGCTGAGATAGCCAGATCCACCTCTTAGCAGTCAACCCAGCCTAAAGGAAGGCTTAATCAAAAGGGAAAGAAAAAGCAAAAAGCAGTTGCCTAAAACTAAGAGTTAAACAGTATTACAGCTGGAATAGTAAAGATAGAAGTTCGCATAGTTAATGAATGTTAATTATGATGAGTAGTTCAGGTCTCTTGAGAGAGATATCAAAAAGATAAATCCAGAAAAGTTTGAGCGCAAGGCTAAGATCAGACAGCACTCAGTAAAATTTATAGATCAGATTGAATCTGATTACTATTGATAGGAAATATTGAAAGTCATTGAGAAATTTATGAATCATTTTCATGAAATAAATCTTAATACTCAGAATATGATCCTTAAAATCTTCATTAACCTTTAATTACGCTAAGATGGGGTTTTGGGGTTTTGGGGTTTTGTGGTTTTGGGG